AAACATAATAATTCATATTTATATATCGTAATACCACATCACTCCTGAACTGGGAGTCATAATAAAGTGTTGAGGGTAGATTTGAAAAAGACGGGGGAGGTGGGTGGGGTCTCCTACAAAGGGAAGGTTGTCACCTTCTTTACCACATTGCAGGCCTGGGGAGATTAAATGAAATGTTAAATGTATGACTCTTAGCACAATGCCCAGCAGTCAGATATTTGCGATTATTACTATTGGTGGTGGTGGTGGTGTTTCTAGAAGAGTGATTGGCACACTGAAGGGCTATCATGGTTGTTATTGTATTTATCTATTTTCCGTATCCACATACTCCTTTACCTAGTCTATTCTCAGGTACATGTACAAGCTGGTATGTGCAAGCTGTTCCCTGTTGATGGCCCTTCCCAGGCCTCAGCCTCCTCTGGGCCCTACTCTTTCTTGGATCACTCAGCCTCAGTAGCCTCTCGCCATTCTTACTCACTTCTCAGTGCCCAATAAGATGACATCCAGCCTGAAGACTGGAATTGTCTATCCCCCTTTCAAAGTCCACCTGCATGGTGGTTTCAGCCATTGCCCTGATATGAAGGAGAAGGAGGAATCATTTGTACTTATTCATTTATCCAGCAAGTATTTCACAGGCACTAGAGTAGGCACCAGGGCTGCACCGTAACAAGGTATAGCCCCTGCCCTCGAGGCGCTTCCAGGCTGGAGGGGGAAGCTTCCAGTCAAGTCAGGGGTAACTCCTAGATATCTGGGTTGGGTGACTGTATTAATGTTCGTGCCACCCGCTACTGAGACTGGAGATGTGAGGTACCTGTGGGCCTACAAATACATATTCAGAAGAGAGCTGAATATATGAGCCAAGAGCTCAGAAGGGAGAGCGGAGCGGGAGATATAAATCCAGCCGTTGAAGATGTAGGCACTGGCTGCCCAAGAAGTGGGCCAAGAACAGAACCCAGGAGAATTCTCATGAAGAAAGCATGGCCTTATCATTGCTCTCCTCCTGTGTCCTTTCACTTAAAGACGTGATAACAACATGCAGAGATATTATTGGTAAATATCTCTAGAAAAAAAACAGTGAGTTCAACTGATGAGAAAAATATATTTAAATTGCCTGATTCCATCCCTCTTCATAGGAACAGGTTGGGGAGAGGAATACGCTTTGTGAAAACGCTCCAGTACTGGGATTACTGGTAGATTGCGTGGCTGTCGGCACCATCAGCCCATCAGAAAACAGATAGACCTGCACAAAGATCTGTTAAAGATCGTTCATATTGGCATTGTTGGTGAGAACAAAAGATTGAGAATAGTTCAGATATTTACCAGTGTGGTTCATCTATAAAGAAACTATAGCACAACCATTGAAAGACTGAGGAAGTTCTTTCAGTACTGATTTGTAACCATCACACACACAGACACACACATACACCCATGCGTATACTCACATATAGATAGTGAACAAGAAGGGATGGTGTTTATAGTATGCTACCAATTGTATAAAAAAGGAGAGAGGGAGAATGAATATGTCTTCATTTTATGTGTATATTTGCTTGCATATGTATAAAATGTCTCTGGAAGGATACACACACATACAAAAGGATCACCTTGGCTGTCCTGGAGGAAGGGAACTGCGGGGCTGAGAGATGAAGTGGGGAGAGAGTTTTCGCTGTCTCCTTTTGGACCTTTCCAATATTGGACTATGTGGAAAAGTAACCTATTCGAAAATAAACATTATTTTAAAAGAGAAAAGGGGAAAAAAATCACTGAGGAGCTGTAGGAAAATGCTCTTAAGGGAAGAATCCCATGTAGGATAGTTTAGGAAAATATGCCTTGCCCAGTCTCGAGGTGCTCAGAAGTTGAAATAAACCACTTGAGATAAGGGTTCAACCATCCTGCTAAGATGGTCCTGGTTGGAGGTCTCTGTGCTGAGAAGGACCTTTCTGGTTGAAGGAAAGGGAGAGGGGGTTTCCGCAGCATGGCGGCAGTCAAAGATGCTGAGGAAGGAAAAGGTTTGGTGAGCCCCACTGTAAAGGAAAAACCTAGTCTTTCCCTCCTGTTGTAGGAAAAAGCCTCAGTCAGTCTATCTCCTGTGTGTTTCTTTTAGTGCTCACACAAAACACCCACACTTCTGACACTTCTGGTCACCAATGTGTGGAGGTTTTCCCCACATGAAGCAATTCTCTGTGGTACCAGCTCGGTGTCGTACAATTTAACTCAGTTCTGGCACCATCTACCCGGAGATACCATCAGATACCACAGGTTAAGGGCTCAGTCCCACAAGGCTGCAGCCCCCAACACACACACACACACACACACACACACACACTTCACATAGCAGCCACAAACCCAGGCTGTCACCTCACTTCTGACCAAGCAGCTGTAGATCAGAGGTTCCCATGACCCCCTCCTTGGGTTTGACTAATTTGCTAGAGCAGCTCATAGAACTCAGGGAAACACTTACGTTTACCAGTTTACTAAAGGATATGATAAAGACACAGAGGAACAGCCATAGGGCGAGGTCTGGGAGGGTCCCAAGTGCAGGAGCTTCTCTCCCTGTGGAGTTGGGGTGTGTCACCCTCCTGGTGCCGAGATATTCCCGATGCGGATGTGTTCACTCACCTGGAAGCTCTCTGAGCCCCTTCCTCTTATTTCATGGGGGCTTCCCCATGTGGGCATGATCAATTACTCCATTTCCAGCCCCTCTCCCTTCTCTGGACAATGAGGGGTGGGGCTGAAAATTCTAAGCTGCTAATCATGCTTGATCTTTCTGGTGACCAGCCTGCATCCAGGAGCCATCCAGAGTCACCGCAGTAGAACAAGAGATGCTCCTAGTGCTCTTATCACTTAAGAAGTTACAAGGGTTTTAGGAGCTCTGTGCCAGGAACTGGGGGAGCAGAGACCAATACATATTTTTCTATTATCTTATACCTAATATTGATGTAAAAAAACTTCCAGTTATTTCAACGAGATCATCAGATGCTCTTGACCAAGATTCAGGACTGTCAGACTTGTACCCTTTTATATAACTTCCCCATGTTTGCCCCTTAAACCTTGTCTTTTCTCTTGTAATGATGGCCATTAAAGCCTTAAAATGAAGAGGGTCTGTGAGCTTGTTTTCGGGGACAGCAAGGAAGGGTGGATGTAAGGAGACCATCTTTCAGGGCCCGTCTTGGAGGGAAGAGAAACCTAACAGTCTAGATAGGCGGTGACAATTACCAAGAGGAGAGGAGAGTGGGAGGAGAGTGGGGGAGGGATGGAGAGTGGGAGCAGGGTGGGGGCGGGGGAGAGGCCCTGGGACCTGCCACTAGTGAAAAAGAGTTTGAGAGGAGCCTGCCTGGGCCTGTGAACTTCCCCCCGGGGACTTAGGGGAAGGGGTTCCTCAATGCAGTGATAAGCTTCGCACAGTAATGGGATTAAATTTGAAACTGTTACAGGTAAGATGTGACTAGCCCATTCTTGTATCACAGAGAGCTAGGCTTTTTTTTCACTCAACAGGTATTAGTTTATTTTCATTGTTACTAAAGTAGCACAAAAGAACACTTCTATTTGTTCTCTTCCCTTATGCTGATCTTAGAACAACACTGAAAATGCTCACTCTTTGCTGCTCTTAAAACACCACTGGAAACTTTAAATGAAGGAAGATTATTTACTCCCATTTCTGCCCTCTTTCCTCTTCGATTTTAACAACTTGCTACGTTTAACCTCAGCTTTGCCTACTCTTTCCCGGAAAAATCATCAACAAACGTGTGGATCTACTATAAACAGGGACCGGTAAATCGATGAGGTGGAAGATTCCAGCTTTGCTCTCAGGGAGCTTGCAGTCTCACTGGGAGACAAATAATTACATTCAGAAACGAATACTGATGCCCAAGAGCATATGTTCAATGCTAAGTCAGAGGTCTCGACAATAGTGGCTTCAGGAGCCCAGCTGAGGCAGAAATCCCTGAGGGCCAAGACACTCAAGCTTCTTGGAGAAGGTGGGCCTTGAAGAACAGGTTAGATTTAGAGAAGTAGAGAGAGCATGTGAGGCAAGACCAGTCGGTGTGGAGCATCTCTGTGGGATAAATAATGAGGGACCCGGTTGGCTGGAGGAGAGGACAGGAGATAGCAGTCATTGGCTGAAGCAATTTCTGATTCAGTGAAAGTCTAAAGTAGGATTTCCCCCCAGATTGCTAGAAACCCTGTGTGTCACAGACATACCCATCAGAGCAAGAGGGAGGTAACAAATGAGCTGACGGCTGGGACTTGCCAGCTAACTATGGAGTCGCAGGAGGAGGACTATGTTCAGGGAAGGCTATGCGTCCGTCCGTGTATGTGCCGAGTCCCCGTATGTCTCTCTGCACACCAGGGGCTGAGGTAAGGGTGAACTTACAAGTGTGTGTCATTCCCGCTCCCCACAAGCTCAGCTTGTATTCTTTCTTTCTTTCTCTCGCTCCCTCCATTCCTTCCTCTTCCCTTTCCTGCTCACGGCCAGATGTCGAGGAGAAATCCTTTCTCACTGTGAGTTTTGATTGGAATGTCAACCTGTGACATTTGCCCTTTTAGAGAGAATGTGTGCATGCGCAGAAAGAGAGGGAGTATAAAATATGGAAACTCTACCAATACTCACCTGGTCTAAGAGTCACAAGCCCCCAGACCCAGCTCCCACAGCTCTCCGCTCTGCGGACTTGGGCTGGCACTTAAACTGCCTGTTCTTTGGTTTCGTTTATGTGTACAATGGAGATGTTAATAATTCCCGCCCTCCCTTGCAGAATTTTCTTGAGGTTCAAATGAAATTATGGTTGTGAAAGCCCTTTGGAGACTAAAGAACTTATTATTAGGAGCTCAAGGTGAAGATTGCATGGGGGTAAAGGGTGGTGAAATTGGAACATCTCAGTAAAGCCCAGCCAGCCCTGTGATTTTATAAAATTGTTTTATGTCATTACAATACAGTAAGCTTAATTATATAGCTTCCTCAGATGTTTTAATGACTCTCACTCTAATGATATCTTTTTCCTCCCTAGATATCCCTAAGTACGGAACCCAGCTCCCCTCCACCGGTTCCAGCTCATTTCGCCTGGCCTCCTCATCGGGTAGTGGGGCTCCCCACCACCAAAGCAGCAACAAAAACTCTCACGCAGCATCTTCAGAGACACTCTGGGCTCCAATTGTTACCCCTCCAGGCTCCGGAGCCAAAGCTGGTTTAAAAACGTGAAAGGATTTTTATAGAAATGGCAAGATGCTCTACACGTTGGAGAGTTGAGTGTTACTTGGCTCCTCTGTTAGAAACTTTCAGTTTAGGTACCTTATTGTGAAAATGAGCTCTGCAGTATTTCAGTAAAAGGTATTCATGCCATAAATGTTGACATATTTACAAACTTAGATAGACATGTGCCGATAGATATCATCGGCTTGATAGAGGGACATATGATAGCATCATTAGTAATATTGGGTGTATGAGACGGAGTCCGAGAAGGATACAGAGAGCACACTCCCCAGGCCACTTTGGCACTTTAATGATGGGGCTATTTACCGGAGCATCTCCGTTGCTAGGGCTGCCATACGAAGTACCACCATCTTAGTCCGTTTGGGCTGCTATAACAAAAATACCATAAAGGAGGGCTTATAAACAACAGACATTTATTTTCTCACAGTTTGGATGCTGGAAGTCCAAGATCAAAGTGTTGGCAGGTTGACTTCTCCTGAGGCCTCTCTGCTTGGCTTGTGGAGGCCCACCTTCTCCCCGTGTCTTCACATAGCCTTCCTCGTGTGTGTGTCTGTGTCTTAATCTCCTCTTATTATAAAGACATAAATAAGATTGGATTAGGGCCCACCCATATGACCTCATTTAACCTTAATTACCTCTTTGAAGACCCTATTTCCAAAGACAGTCACATTCTGAGGTCCTGGGGGTTAGGACTTGAACATAGAAATTTGGTGGGGGCACAGCTCAGCCCATAACGCACACTGTGGGCAGAGTGAAGAGAATGAGGATGAGATGGTGACGCACCTGGGAACTAGCAAGGGCAGAAGCCTTTGTCATCCTTTGGCCTGAAGAGGACAAAGGGAAAGGGCATGTTGTTCCTAGAACCTAGTTAAGAGCTGTAGCCGTGGGAGAGGGGCAGCCTAACAGGAGGTGTGCGTGCCATATGGTGGAGGAACACAGCCACCATGGAAAGCAAAGCCTAGCAGGGAGGGAAGAGGAAGAAGACCCAAGCCCTCTCTCCCCCCACCTTTGACACTCCAACCGTGCTTCCCTTTGGTCAGACCCATCTGGGAGTCAGAGAACAAAGACGCCAGGGGGATGTGGCTCTTAGATGTCAGCCTCCAAGGCAGTTAGTGGAGCTGAGAAGTGTGGCCAGGGTGGCTGGGGAGAGGTAGGATGTGAGCGAACAATGAAGAATAACCAGCACATGGGGGGAATGTGTACATTTCCAAAGGAGGAATTATGATTGATGTTCAAGCAATGTGAATGGGCTGTAACTAAAACCACCTATTCATGTAACCATTTCAAAGTCCCAGAAGTTACCATTCTAGGAACTTATTTACCTAAGTAAAGCAGAATGATAGAAAAACAAATATGTTTGTTCATGTAATGTTGAACATGTATGTTCCTATGCTACACACTGAATATATATATATATCTATATATATATTCGAATGGTTTAAAATGGTGGCCTGGCAGGACGGCCCAGGATACGGTGGTTTGCATGCCCATATGGTTGGTGGAGGACAAAACATGACCGACTTACAATTGATTAGTTTGCACCACCCAGGGTTAAGCTAACACATGGCTCTGAGGCAGAGAAGAGAGAAAATACACCCGGATGAGACCTTGAGTTCTTGCCATGGGCAAAGCAGGCGACTGTGTGTTAGGGTTTCCTCTGCCTGGAGCCTGAGTCCTCACAGTTGGCGCCTAGGAGCCAGGGTCCACTGTATAAGCTGGGGGCGGGGGGGTGGGGGTCCGCAGGTCCAGGATTCTACCCTGCCTTGTCCCAGTGAACCCGTGTGATTGTGTCAGGAACCTGTCATATTGTGGACATATGTTTGAATAGGCCAGTCTGGAATATGTCCCCAGCCCCTTCTGGAATAAACTAGGATCTTCTGGGGCAAGGACACATCAAGGGGCAGAAGGGCTTGTCCAGTATGAGTGGCTACATCTTGTCTTAAGCCGTATTTGGGTTACCCCTGTGAAACTAACCAACCCCAAACTTCGGTGCTTACAAAAACAGTCTGTTACTTTGCTCGTGAACCTGCAGTTTGGGAGGTCTCTGGGAGAGCGCTTGTCTCCGATCCACACGGCACCCTCTGGGTCTTCACAGAGGGCTGGAAGATCCACTTCCAAGATGGTTTAGGGACATACCTGGAAAGTTGGTGCCAGCCATCCACTGGGTGCTCAGCCAGGGCTGAGGGCCAAAGGCCTTGTTCCTCTCCACGTGGGCCAGGATTCTCATAGCATGGGGGCTGGGTTCTAAGGCCGAGTGTCCCAAGAGAGAGCCAGGTGAAATCTGAATCATCTTTTTCATGCTAGTCTTGGAAGCCTCATAGTGTCACTCCATCTTCCCCTGGTGACCACAGAAACTTGTCCAATTTTAAGCAGATGGGACATAGACTCGGGAGAGTTGTAAAGTTCTGGAAGAAGCTTTGGGATTGGAAATATTGCAACTGTTTTGGGAAAGACTCTCTGCCTCAGGATGGTTCCTCGTGCAACCCTTACCCATCGTTGGTGACAGCATGCTTATGTGAACAAGGTACCTCCTCTGCATTAGTCTGCTCAGGCTGCCACAGCAAAACACCGCAGACTGAGTGGCTTAAATGACGGATATTAATTTTCTCACAGTTCTGGAGGCTGGAAGTCCAACATCAATGTCTCGTGTTGGCGGGGTTGGTGTCTGCTGAGAGCTCTCTCCTTGGGTTGCCTTTTCACTGTGTGCTCACATGGCCTTTCCTTGTTGCCTGTGCAGAGAGAAAGAGAGGTTGAGAGAGAGAGAGGTTGAGAGAGAGAGCTCTTTCTGATGCTCCTTCCTATAAGGACGCTATTCCTTTCAGATCAGGACCTTACCCTTACGAAGTTATTTAACCTTAATTACTTCTTTAGAGACCCTCTCTCCAAATACAGCCACTCTGGAGGTTAAGACTTCACTGTATGAATTTTGGGGGACATAAACATTCAGTCCATAACATCCCCCATAATGACGTGAATCAGACAACATTAATAAGATAAATTTATATTAATATTCATTAATTCAAGAAAACTTTATTGTGGGGACAGCCTGGTGGCGTAGTGGTTAAGTTCACACGCTCCACTTCAGCAGCCTGGGGTTTGCAGGTTCAAACCCCAGGCGTGGACCTACACACTGCTCATCAAGCCATGCTGTGGCAGCATCCCACCTACAAAATAGAGGAAGATTGGCACAGATGTTAGCTCAGTGACAATCTTCCTCAAGCAAAAAAGAAAGGGAAATTGGCAACATGTTAGCTCAGGGCCAATCTTCCTCAAAAAAAAAAGAAAGAAAGAAAGAAAACTTTATTGAACACCTACTATGTGCCAGACTCTCTACTAGGCTCTTGGAATATAAGTAGGAGAAAAGAACAGTTCCTGTCTTTAATGAGTTATAACCGCGAGGGAGACAAAGCAGCCATTACAATACAGTGATAGCTGCAAGGAGAGCATGCCTTGAGAGCTCCTGGAAGGGACAAACAAACTACTCCACGGGGAGCTGTGGGAGTGATGTCCAAGCAGAAACTGAGGATGAGTAGTATTGAGTAGTAGATAGGAGGTGGGACAGCCAAGGGGGAGCATTTGAGAGAAAGGAATAAGATGTGCAGAAACCCAGGGCAAAACTAGGGTCACCAGCATCCTGGTTTGCCCAGGGCTGTCCTGGTTTTAGCGCTAAAAGTCCCAGGTCTGGGAAACACTCAGTCCCTGTGCCTTGGAGTGGGGGTTGCAGCAGGGTTGATAAGAGAGTAAGCTGGAAAAGTAGGCAGGAGACAAACAGGAACTAAAGCGCGCTAAGGAGTTAAGAATGTATCTCGAAGGTAGTTGAGCGATTCATAAGTGATCTTCAATAGGGGAGTGACTTGCTGAGACCTGCATTTAGAAAGAGCTCTAGCTGCTGGATAATTAAGAAGAGGGACAATACTGAAACCAATTAGGAAGCCATTGTGGTTTTCCATGGAAGAGACAATGGTGACTTAAGGTGAAATAATGGAGGGGGCGGAGAGAACCAGAAGATTTAGAATATCTTAAGGAGAAGTAACAGAACTTAGAGATGTGGGCGGTGAGAGACAAGGAGACATCGAGGATGACTCCCAGATTCCTGGCTTGGACAACTGGAAAAAGTCTTGGGAAGCAATTAGGATGGTTTGGAAATACCTTCCCCACACCATCCTACTCGAGGATAGAGACAAAGCAGCTATTCTTCTGCGTCCCATACAGCTCTTGTTGACCTAAAATCTCAGTTATTGTGCAACTGACCCAGAAGTCTCATGCACAGCCCTGAGACTTACAGGAAATTCAGGATAAGAAGGAGCTTTGGGACAAGAAGGAGACAGGCATTTTTTACACTAGATACTTCCTAAGCGGTGATGTACTCTCTCTTATTTAATCTCACAAGAATCATGAGGGAGGGAGGTGGGTATCATGCCCGTTTCCTAACTGCAAAATTGGGGATAACGTAATGAGCCACAGGTGGCCACGGCCGCAAAGCAGCAGAGCCAGGCTTTAAACCCAGATGTGTTTGACTCTAAAGGACGGCTCTTCCCATCAGACTGCTTCCCTAATGAACACTGGTTTCCTCCTGATGGGATATTTCGTCACATCTACTGCCACACCTGGATTCCGTCTTCACTCAGCGTTGGAGAAGGAGGCAGACCGAGGGAAGGGCTGTACCCACTCAGGACTCAAAGGGGCCCCTGAAGGCTGCTTCCAGGAGCGAAGACTGCAAGAGACCTGCTTAATCCTTTGTAACTCGTCCCCAAACTGATTATACTTGCAAAAACTCTAAAGCCAGAGGACCTATGTAATTATCTTTGTGAGCATCAAGGCCAGGGGAAGCCACAGAGACAGGGTCCCAATCAACAGCCGGTTTAGGGAAAGAAAGAGTGTTGGGAGATGAAACTCAAGAGAAAGGCAGCTATGGGAAGGACACCACAGGGAAGAAAGGAACACAGGATGAGTTCCCAGGGCCTCCCTCCAAAAGAGAGGGAGTGCACAGTGAGCTTGTCTAAACCGTAGAAGGGCTGGACCTGTGTGGCCCCTCCATGGAAGCTGCCCCCCAACCCTCGGGTCAGAGACACACTGGAGCTGAAGTCTTAAGAGAAACCCCAGTGCCAACTCGAGCTCTTTCTTCAAGAGCAAGGTTTACATTTTGATGTGAATCTTGACTTATCTTCTGCAAAGGCCTAATCCTTCTGAGTCACGTAGTAATCTATCCATTTTGCTTTATAATCTTCTACTGTTGTTATTTCTGCATGTATTTTATCCCACCCCCCTTCTAGATTGGAAATTCTTGAAGGATCCTAGTTTCACTCGATCTATATTTTCTCCATTTTCTTTTATGCAGTAGGCACACGAGTGGAGTTTAGGACTTGTCATTCATTGGACTGCTGTCAGAGATCTGAATGTTCATTTCTCTGCTGGCTTCTTTATTCGCTGACACTGGCAGAGAAAGGACACAAGAGGGCGCTCCTTCCCCTCCTATATGAGTCCAGGGAGCTGCACCTTTTCTGCCCGTTTAGGGGTCTCTTAAAAATTCAGACCTGACTGACGTCGGTGAAACATATTTTTTACTACTATTGGGGAATTTTGAATATTTATACTAGCACCCTTAGGGAAATATTTATGCAGCTCAGGTCTTTGATTCCAATCAAATCAATCAAACAAATAATCGTAGTCAGTTTTTGAAGAACTTACAGTCTAAAGAAGAAACATGTATTTTAAAAAGTAACCAACCAGTTTACCCCCATTAGCATGGCTGTTATAGAAAACACAAAATAACAAATGTTGGGAAGGATGCAGAGAAATTGGAAACTTTGTACATTGCTGGTGGGAATATAAATTGGCAGCTGTTATGGAAAACAGTATGGAGATTCCTTAAAAAACTAAACATAGAATTATTACATGATCCGGCAATTCCACTTCTGGGTATAGACCCAAAAGAGTTGAAAGCAGGGATTCGAAGAGATGTTTGTACACCCATGTTCCTAGCATTATTATTTACGATAGCCAAAAGGTGGGAACAACCCAAGTGTCCACTGACAGACGAATGGATAACTAAATGTAGTATATACATTGGAACATGTATATACGTGTTCATACAACGTACATGGTGGAATGTATGTACGTACAATGTATATGTATGTAATACAAGTACATACAATAGACTAATATTCAGCCTTAAAAAGGAAGGAATTTCTGACACATGCTACAACATGGATGAAGCTTGAGGATATTAGGCTAAGTAAAATAAGCCAGACACAAAAGGACAAATACAGTATGATTTCCCTACCTGGAGCAGTCAAATTCAAAGAGAGGGAAAGTAGAACAGAGATTGCCAGAGGCTGTGGAGAGGGGAAAA